CCACCCCCCCCCCCCCCCTCTCTTTCTAATGGTGGAGCATGGTGAAAATAGAGCCATTTAGACTGTGTAGTGTCATACCTCAAGGTATTTGCTGTTCGGGCAAGATAAACTTACCGTTCTTTATTCTACAGATGTTCCATTAAACCTGTTAGGGAGGGTAAACCCCCTGTTAGGATGAGACATGACCATTCCTGAATTCATGCAATGGGATTGGTTCACCCAAGAAAGGAAAAGAGAAATGAATGTCGCAGCGAACCTGAGAAAGGTCCCGTATCCATGAGAAGAAAGTAAGAAACCATGGAATTATGTCGATTCGAGCTAGCCTCTAGTCTTCTTCAATTAGAAAGTAATGTCTTTTCAATATAGTAAGGGGTTCTATTCATATTACTTTGATTTTTATTATTCGTTCCAATTGTCAATACAAACCTTAAGGATTGAAACACTAACCTAGTCAAGACTCACCAATAAGGTAACTCCGCCATGTGTTATGAATGTAATAGAATAAACTCGACTTAAGAAAGATGAAACCTCCATTTATTGATAATCAAAAACCTCAATTTTAATTGAAATTTTGAATATGTATGGTCTCGTATATAATATATATGCAAATGATACTCCTTCAATTCTATTTATATAGACTGACTTTTTTTATTTCAATTATATAGTCATGTTTCTTTATTAAGAATGTTATGTTTTATTTGTTTATTAATATATCCTTATTTAATTTGTCTAGTTATGATCAATATTTTTCATTTAATCTTGAAATCGTAAAAATATAAATAAGAGTAAACTAGGAAAGTTTTGGCAAAAAATGTCTTTTCAATAATATTAAATAAAATTTCTTAATTCGTGTGAAAAATAAAATCAACCTATATAAATGGGACGGGGAAGCATTAATATTTAAACAACTTTCTAATAAATTTTTGCCTTGACGTATAAATGAACCTTTTGCAAGTTCATTATTATGGATAGTTCAAGGATTGGGCCAATGTCCTATACAATAATTGAATTCTTGATATAAATGTTACATATTTGGGTTTCATCCTCTAGAGTTATGAGTGTAATTGGAGCATCCTACGACAAAAAGAATCATCTTAGATAATCATTCTATGGGTATTGAGAATGAATTAAATTGGATGGTTTCGTCTCTCTTTCTAACTTGCACTTATGGAACCATGGCTAAATTAAATATTAAAAAAAAATTAAAAATCAGTCATTCAAAAGAAGGATTCCTCAAAAAGTTAAGAATTAGTAATATATATATATATATTTTTTAAAAATTGAATAGATTTGATCTTACGCATACACGAGAAAGATAACTAACAGAGAAAGAAGATGAGTTTTTTTTTTTATCACTCAGAAGCCGTGTGAGACGAAAGTCTCGTACACGATTTTGAATGAGATTCATTTAGATGTTTATTATTAATTAATTGAATTGATCTTTTCACATATTATTTTGTCGGCTATATAAAATATAGTAATGTTTACAAGCTTACTAAAATATAGTAATGAAATTACAGAAGTTTTCTACTATGTACAAAATTAACTTCGTTTAACTAATGAAAATTCTTTTTTAAACTTTTAGAATACGTTTTATATTTAGCCCCCGTTTGGACCTTTTTTTTTTTTTATTCAAATTTTAATGTTTGAAATAGTGGTTTTTTTGAGAATGTGGGGTTAAAAAAAAGCAAATTTTTTCGATTTACATGTAATATTATTTTATGGAAGATTGTGTGATTGAAAATAAAAGGGAGGAAACAAATTGAAAGAAAAAAAGGAGCCAATATACAACATTTATAATTCTAGTTGAAGTGATGTTTGGATTTTATCAAGAACATTATATTAGAATGATATTTTAGATATTGTTAAAGGAACCATGAAATGGTTAAAAGTTCGTAATGGTATTTATATTAATATATGAAAAAAAAGTGATAAATAGAGGCATGCTTCATTAAAGATGCAAATATGCTCCAAGTGGTTCGATTTGAGTATTTCAAGAATCGGAACAACCCACTAAATTTTGAATATTCTCTAAATGAAATCATTAAATTCAATCTAAATTTTGAAGCCAAACCAAAATTTTGAGAGGTTCAGTTTTGATTAAAATGCACACTCTAATTAAAGATTTGATAATAGTGCATTTGATTGCCAATATTTTTTTATAAGAAATGTGTTTTTTTTATTCAAATTCTTACTTTTTTTTGTTGTTTGACTGACATTTTTTTCATAGACAACATTTCCTATTTTTTTGTCACGTGGCCATGTTTTTCTCAAAATCAAGAAAAATATTTTGTTTAGAGAGATTTTTTTCCAGGGAATTCACTTTCTCTCTCTCTCTCTCTCATCTATCCACCATTTCTCATCTACTTATCAATAAAAATTGGATAAGTATAATATTTTTTAGATTGAAAAATAAATAAATCACATATATTTAATTGACAATTTTCATACAAATAAGTTTTTGAAAATTGAATTACCTCGAATTTATTTTTTTCTTTATAAATTTTATGCTTACAATCAAATGCACTCTAAGAGAATTTTGTATAATTTTGAAAAGGAAGGTGTGTCTTTGAAATTATCATAAACCTCAAGAGAGGTACATGTCATTCAAAACTTGAAAAAGAAAGTTTGTCTAATTTTTGAAAAGTAAACGGGTGTTTCTGAAATTTTCATAAACATTAGGAAAGGCATGTTATATTCAAAATTTAAAAATAACGGGGGCGGGGTGGGGGGGGGTTTGTAATTTTTGAAAAATGAAATGGGTGTTTAAACTAGAAGTAATTGTTCCAATGGTCACTGAAATTTAAAATATTAAGTTTTGGTAATTGAACTTTAGTACAATATTGTTCACTAAAGTTTAAAATATCGAGTTTTAGTTACTGAATTTTGAAAAATATTATACATTAATCATAACATTAATGTTGAATTTTGAAAAATATTGAGTTTACGGTGAATAACATACGATATTTTTTAAAGTTCAGTGTCCAAATTTTGAAATTTTAAATTTCAGTGATCAATCAAAAATATGTACCTAAATTCAATGATTAAAATTCTACAATTTAAATTTCAGTGACCATTAAAAAAATGGACCTAAGTTCAGTAACAATTGGAACAACTAACTCTTTAAACTAAAAGGGCGGTCTATGTAATTTCCCCTAAATTTTAAACAGGATTGCACTTTAGCTACTGAAATTTAGATAAGACTTACTTTGGTCACTGAACTGTGATAAATCGCATTACTCATTACGTCCATCGGACGACCCCAAAGAGAATCATCGTCCACGATCATGATAATGGTGAAAAGTGAAAACCCACCAAAATTCAGATACATCCCAGCTATTTGAAGCCTATCAAAGCGAGTTTTACCTAAATTTACTGTAATAAAAGGTCAACTCTCTCTCTCTCTGTCTATGGTAGCATAGTATATATAATTAGAATTAATGCGGGTGACTGGTTGACGATAAGATAAGGCTCACAATTCAAAGCACCGCGTTATGCATTCATTACGATTTTCTTGTCTTTTTGGGTCTTGCTGAAGATGGGTTCCCTAAATTTTATCCATTTTCTGTTCCCTATTTTTGTCTTTTATTTTATTTATTTAATTTTGTGAACTTCGTAAATTTGAGAAATTTGAGGCACCGTCCGTGACGTTGATGCCTGTTTCTTTCTGAGAGAAAAAAAACTAAGTCTTTAGTTAATGGGTGCTGAGAAGGTTGACGTATTCAATTTGAGCTATTGTTTAAGCTTATTTAGACATATGAAAAATTCGTTGAATTTATTGTCAACTCTGTCCTTTTGCACTTCGATAGCGGTCTTTTGAATCATTACTCTAATGGAGTTATAGTTATTTTCTGCTTCCATCAGTTCATTTATGCTACCATTCTCCTGCCAGCTTGTGTAAAGGAATATCTCAGAGCCATTTCACCTTCGCAGCAATTTTTTCGAATGACTCAGGTTGGGTTTGTTATTTCACTATTTAATTAGTGCTTTCTAATCTCAAATTTAACTGTAATTGATGATGAAATACATGGTGGAGTCAGTTTGTTTCATTTTTCTGATAATAGCGTTGTTGAATTTTTGTCGGTTCTGTTCAAGTCATATATCTCGAGTTCTTGCATATGAGGATTTATTATTATTATTATTATTTTTTATTATTATTATTATTTTTTTTTTTAAGGTCAGGCCATTTATATGAGATTTCCCTTACAAGTTGATTGAGTTTTAGCTCCGTTGCTGCACTATGAGAATTTTGGTCGGTTGGTGTCATTCTTATGCTCATTCTAGTACCGATTAGGAGAATCCTTGCTAAATTTGACAAATCTAGACTGGAATTTGTCATTTGTAATTTAATTGAAATCAGTAATGCTGGTTGGATAATTTTAGCCTGATGATCTAAACATTGCCTACAACTTAATACTATTGATTCCTAATACTGTTTAGAAATGGTCTTCTTTTCATAGTTTCTGTTAAATTCATTTAAAATTTTGTTGAGTGGTTTTCTGCTGATATTTTAAACAAAAAAGTAAACCACATTGAATTTATTTTGCCTAATTCTCCCTCGCTGCTCATCTCTAGTAGATGCACGTGCTTAGATTCTCTACTGCTGGATCTTTTTGTTTGACTATGTCCTTGTTACCTTCTTGGTTAAGACTTGGTCACATATTCAAGTTGGTATTTATCTGGGGAGGGAATTCATTGACCTGGTTATGTAATCAAAAGTGCTTTTGATAATGTTAGTCCTCCTTATTTATTGGAGTTAGTACTCCTTTCTTATTTCTTAGTATTTATCTGGGGAGGGAATTCATTGAACTGGTTATGTAATCAAAAGTGCGTTTGATAATGGTTAAGACTTGGGTCACATATTCAAGATAGTATTTATCTAGGGAGGGAATTCATTGACCCGGTTATGTAATCATAAGTGCTTTTGATAATGGTAGTACTCCTTTCTCATTCCCCTCCTCTGATCATCTGTTCTTTGTTGACTTCACTTTGCCATCTGAAGTATACAATTGACTGTTTCTACTTATATTTTATTTGAGTGCTCTACTTGTGGAGGATAATTTGGCCCTTATATAAATTCTCATTCATTTTGTTTCAAGGTACTGTAATAACTAATTCTGCATTTATTTTCGAGGTTCTGTAATAACTAATACTGCACTGTAGGGATTTACTGATATGAAAAATTCTCGTGCATTTATTTTCAAGGTTCTGTAATAACTAATTCTGCACCGCACCATCTTATGAGTACACCCTCTATGAACTGAATACGAACCTTATAGCAGGGAAACTAATATAATATATGAAGGAATCTTTAACGTGTTCTTTCTTGTTGAACAACTTTTTTTTTCTTTGTTTCTAAAATTTAAACATTCTATTAAGTTCATTGTCTGTGCTTGGTGGTATATGTAACTGTAAAGTATATCTTATTGTGATTATTCTCTTCCCTCCCATACAGGGCTGTGTATCTTAAAGAGGAAATACTGATACTTCTGTTTTACATGTTAGAACATGCCTTTCAACGAATTTTTTACCGAATATGGTGAAGCAAATTTGTATGAAATCGAAGAGGTTGTTGGCAAGGGAAGTTATGGTGTTGTGGCCGCTGCAGTTGATACTCACACAGGAGAAAAGGTAGCTATAAAAAAGATTGACAGTGTTTTTGAGCATGTTTCTGAAGCCACTCGCATTCTTAGAGAAATCAAGCTCCTTCGGTTACTTAAGCACCCAGATATCGTAGAAATAAAGCACATAATGTTGCCTTCATGTCGGAGAGAATTCAAGGATATATATGTGGTTTTTGAATTGATGGAAACAGACCTTCATCATGTACTCAAGACAAATGATGATCTTACTCCTGGTCATCATCAATTTTTTCTGTATCAGCTGCTTCGAGCTTTGAAATATATACATTCAGGTTGGAATATCTTTTACAGCTTTTATAATTTCCTCATTGTTCTCTCTTTCACACATTAAATGATACTTTGAATTTTCTTGCTGCAGCGAATGTGTTCCACCGGGATTTGAAACCCAAAAACATACTTGCTAATGCAGACTGCAAGTTGAAGATCTGTGATTTTGGACTAGCTCGTGCATCATTTGGTGATGCCCCATCTGCTGTGTTCTGGACTGTATGTGATTTATGCAATGACATTATGAAGGATAGAGCACTCTAACTGCTTTATATGTTTTGTTTATTTTTTCTTGGTCTGATGGGCAATATCTCTTAATAGTAGTCATTAATGTTGTTTTTTCTCAGCCATTTCATTTCTTATTGATAATGTCAATTATTTATAGGATTATGTGGCAACTCGATGGTACCGTGCTCCTGAGCTTTGTGGTTCATTTTTCTCCAGAGTAAGTAACTATATCGTGCAGTAACAGTTTTCATAATAGATGTGGGAGCTTTTCCATTGCCGATAATAAATGCTGTTAAGTCAGCTTTATACTGATTTTGATGTTGCATCTTCTGATTAAATTCAACACTTACTATATCGACTTTTCCTTGTTTTGCTTGATTTGTACTAGTGCTCTTGTTAGAATTCATCTTAAAAATACCTGATAAGTTAGTTGATTATAATGTTGTGAAGTCAGCATCGTCTTGCATCAATCATGCTTGTTTGGTTACTTGACAAATATGTGTAGCTTTTAGTGTCTAACCCAATAAATGCTATTTCCATTAGATACTTAAATAATGTTACTTAGCTAATTAAATAATTTTTCAGTTACATGTTTTCCAATCCTTCAAGTTTTTTGTTCTCTGCTGTTTCAGTTAGGAGTATGCATATAGTCTATGAAAGCATATTGTGTATGTCTGACATTATCATAGTCACCTTGCACATTTGTGAATTGTAAAAAAGTCTGTTGGTGAGGTTCTGAATACACACTCTTAAATTTGTGATATTTTTAATTTCAAAAGTATTCCTATTTGCTGGGGATTGCTGTTCTGTCGGAATTACATGAATAACTTTTTCTCAAATTGTTTGTTTTGGAATGGACAAGTTTCCTTTTACATGTATTTCTGAAATAACCTGCAAATATTCTAGAATCAAGTAAACTCTGTGAGTGACAAAATCGCAATTTCAGTTCCACTAGCATGGCAATGGTTCAATATGGTTGAATCAAATTTTTATATAACCTTGTGGGGTAGTTCAGTGGTCGGGCCTCGGGTTTACTCCCCAATGGTCACCAATTTGAGTCCCTTTAGGGCCATTGAGTAGGTATCTGACTGTAAACTTCATAGCCCCATGGGATTAGTCGAGGTGAACGTAAATTGGCCTGAAAACCCATGGTCATAAAAAGAATAAATAAAAATAAAAAATTATATGAACTATTTTGTTCATTTGATTGTACAATTATCCATTGAAATCCTTTCAAGGATATTCTAAGATTGTGTCTTTCGCAGTATACTCCTGCTATTGATATCTGGAGCATAGGATGTATATTTGCAGAAATTCTCACAGGCAAACCATTGTTTCCTGGGAAAAATGTGGTCCACCAATTGGATCTCATAACTGAACTTCTTGGTTCACCCTCTTCTGAATGCCTGTCTAGGGTTAGTTCCTCCTTTATATAGTTATTTAATTTACCATGATGATTCTGGTTACAGGATTTTTTTTCTAAAAATTTGAATCTCAGGATAATAGTAGCAGATTATTTCAGAAAGTGTGGAATAAAAGAAGCTTATTATTTGACAATTTGGACTTGTTTTCTACCTACAGATTCGAAATGAGAAGGCACGAAGATATTTAAGTAGCATGAAAAAGAAAGCACCTGTTCCTCTCTCACAAAAGTTACCAAATGTCGATCCATTGGCTCTTCATTTACTTGAACGTTTGATAGCATTTGATCCCAAAGATCGTCCATCTGCTGAAGAGGTGAGATTCAGTAAACCAAATATGTTGTATTTCCTTTAGTTGACACATGCATTTCAATATTTAGGATATGTTTGCTAATACTATCAATTATTTCTAACTGCAGGCATTGGCAGATCCATATTTTTATGGTTTGGCAAATGTGGAAGATGAACCATTAACTCAACCAATTTCAAAATTTGAGTTTGAGTTTGAAAGGAGAAATTTGACAAAAGATGATGTAAGAGAGCTAATCTACAGGGAGGTATGAACATTGCAAAGCTATCTTTAGTCAAATATGATATCTCTGTGTTAGCTATTACTTACATTGTATCTTAACAAAGCAAACAGATCTTGGAGTATCATCCCCAGATGCTCCAGGAATACCTCCGTGGCGTGGATCAGACTCACTTTATGTATCCAAGGTTTGACAATAAAAAGAATTCTTGTCAACTTCTATTTTTCTAAAAAACATTTCTTGGACGTTGCTTCGTCAAATACAACTTAAATATTTGTATCATTTTTCTACGGTATTCATTTATAAGTAATCGTTTCTCTACCATTTTTTCAATTCAACCTCCAAATCACTAAAATTTTTGTCTTAAGTATACTTCCACTGATCTATCTTTAAATGATTGAGATTGGCTTATTTCTTCGGATTTTGTGCATTTGGACTCTTGTTGGTTGGGTTTGTTGCTGACAGCTTCACTCCTCAAGGCAGAATCTGCAATTTAAGTATCTAAGTACCATGTTCTGCATGTCAAAGGAAAAAAAATGGAAAAAGAAGAATCATTGGGTCCAAACATGTTCACTGTCCTACATTGGTATATTTACGTAATATTTTGACCTAAGTGTTTCTTATAAGTACTAAAGAAACTTTTATATGAATTCTACACGATGCCCCACTTAAAATGAGAATACTATGCCATCCATATGAATCAAGAAAGGCATCTTCACTAATTCAATTTTTTTTTTTTTTTTAAAGCTGGAAACTCTTGTCAACATCCATGAAAGACGTAGTTATCATGTCACTTTGCTTTTGAAGAAACTAACTGAGATATCTAGTATAGTATAGTGTCAGTATTTTGAGGTGAAGCTTACAATATATATGGCTATCAACTTTAATGTTGTGCTTCAGTTGACACATTTTATGTTATAGTCTACGGTAATTCAATGAGCTTTGCTTGTTTCAATATGATGTATTTCACATTATTGTGTTATCTTATTAATGTCTTGCTAAAGCAGATTGACTGTATATTGTTATTTCAGCGGACTTGATCAATTTAAGCAAAAATTTGTCCAACTTGAGGGACATTCTGGTAAAGTAGAAAGGGCTCCAATGCGAAGGCGTTATGCCTCCTTGCCCAGGTAAGGTGTTCTAAATATTTCTGGCGAACATTTGGTTTGAGTTTCTCATCACATCAATAGCCTAAGTGCCTCATCATATTACACACAGGGAACGAGTCTATGCACCTATCGATGAGGACACAGAGCAGAATAGTAATTCTAAAAGTAAAACTGTGGTTGCTATTCCACGCCCATGTCTTCTTAGCCCCTCCAAATTACCAGAGATGAAAGGATTAGAAGCTTCCAATACGGCAACGGAAAATGGACGTAGGAAAACGTGCTGCAGTGCTCGATGCTTATTAAGAAGTTCTAGCATTAGTGCTTCTACATGTGTTGGTGTAGACTGCAGGGATTATAAGGTAAGTATGTCTATTTGTTAGTTAACTTGTATCTGTGTAGGTAGAAGCCATATAATGTGATTGAGGCAAGTAAAATCTTGTTCTTTTTGTCTAACCTGCTAAGAAGAGAAAATTTTGGTTTTGATAACAGAGAGACTGATTAATATTCCCCTTGTACGTTGTTGCTTCCTCTGCGGTGAGTAGGTGTGATAAGTAAGAAAGACGAGTTTGTATTTTTCCATATTTAATGTTTTTAATTTCTTAAATTCCATAATTTACAAACAGGGAATATAATGTGTTGAGGAGAAGAATTCTACTTGCTTTGCCCACTTATCTGCATTTCCTGGAGGACAGCTTCCTGGAAGGATGATAATGGGGTGAATGCAAGGTCAAATCTATCTGCTTTTATATATGCTAAAACTATTGATTTTATAGACCCTTGTGAACAACGCTGATTGTGTTGATATTTGATTATCTACAGAATTGTTGTCTATTATGCTTATTGCCTTTTTGTAATATTTATTATGTTGTTGCAGTTAGATTTAGTATTGACAAGTATGGATTGGAAGATGGTCACATAAAAAAATGGTTTAAGATTAAGGAATTAGGTACCTGAGATCGGTATGGAGGGGCTTGAACCTTTCTACATCATAAGCTTAAACTTTTAAATGATTGAGTCGAGTATAGGGATCTAAGTAGGATATCAGATCGCTATCTACTATCCACATTCTTTGGCGCTCCCATATTAACAAATACTTTTAAAGGAGATGCCTCAATGTAATAAACAAGGGTAATAAATTGAGTCGATGGGTATTATGGGCATAAAATGAGTTGGAATAGTATCTGTGGTTATTGGTCATACTTGATACATGCTCTTGATGAAAACCATTGAACTCATTGTCTTTGAAGTGAAATCACCTGTTTATGCACTTCTCTTTGTCTACCATTAACCTTCTTCCCTTTGGATTTTATGTTTGAGAGTAGTCTGTTAACTAAAGTCTACATACTCAGCACTCTATTTTGGTAATGATGTGAAGCCTTCTTATCTAAACAAGAATGGGGTGTTTGGTCTTGTTCTCTACCCGTACTCAAGAAGAATCCACTTTAGGCTTAGGCTTATTAGTAATATATGATCAACTTCTTTTCGTAGTACAGGGGAATTTGAATTCCCATTGGCCTCCTTGAAAGAGAAATGTACTAAACTACTAGAAGATGGAGGGTGACTTGTTCAATCGTCCTCATACAATGATAATGGTATGAACAATATCTTGAAATTGTCATAAATGTATATTAATTGAAAGATCGTTACAATTGATGGGTGCACATTCACCATTCCATTGAAGGATTAACAAAGTTCTCGACGGCAGGCAACCTTCCAATTGTGAATAATTGAGAAAGGGTATCTAAAATTGAAACGTGATACACTTCAACATGAATCTCCTTGAAATTGTTGATCAACTTCAGTGTAGTTTGAGCTCTCGTGCTCGTGTTGGTTTGCTATAAGTATCCTTCAGCTAGCCACTTCCATCAAGTTGTCCATGGGAAGCAAGGTGTGCCATGTATTGCTGCAACATTAACATAATAATAATTCAGAAACATCAATAAAATTTCGACAAAAGAAAAAGAAAAGATTGCAGAAGGGGGAGAAAAAAAGCCAGTTATTATAAGAAACCACTTCGCATTACAAATTCCGAGTTAAACAAAGCTATAATCATGAAGCATTACTAAAGGACACATGTATGCCGTGAAGAAAGAAGCTTGTATTAACACTTCAACTATTTAAGTTGAATAATGCTATTTAGCGCCTGTCTACGAAGAATTATGCTATTTAGGTTGAAAAAAGAATCAAGTAGTTAACACTTCAACACATAAAATACAGACAATTAAATGTTTCAGTTTAAAGAATTAGTAAATATAAATAGTAGACGAAGGAAGGAAGAAAAGCAAAATAGAGAGAGACTAGCAACAATAGGCAAATACATTGTTCATAACCAAGAGTAAAACTCTCCCCGGTAGAAGGCGACTAGCATATGAGATAAGGACATCGTGCAATTTTGCATCTCGAGGAGGAAGATTGACAAGAAACGATGAAGTCATTACTAATTACGTCACTACTACATTAAAAATATGGTCACCAACTTTCATATATTCAGGATACTAAGATAAACTTCTTGATACTATTGTTTCCATTATAGAAGCCTCTAAGCAATAAAGCAAACTTTTTCTGAATATATTGAGGTTCTTCCATTCTAAAATTTAAGGAATTCAAGACAGATTCAATTGTATCGTACAAGTTTATGGTATCAACAGGTTTATTCAACTTACAGCAAAGAAATTTTACTAACAAAAATCAAATAGGATTGTTATGAACATAATAGAAACAATATAAAAGGCAGAAGCGAATATGGATGATTCGCCTTTCAAATTGTTTGGACTTAATCAAAAGGTTACCAGCTACTGATGAAATATATTTCAATTTGTATAGCCTGCTCAAAATTAGTGAAAAGAACTGAAAATACAAATTGATGTCCATGCATTCAAACTCATTGGAGAATGTACAGTAGGAAGTTGAGGTTAAATCTGAAGTGCTTGTGGTTATAGCAGTAACTTATATGAACTACTTAGAAAACAAAGCCATAGATTCATGACACCTTCTCCTCTCTTGTTACTGAGGTATAAATCGCCACATCAAATCACAATTATGCATCGTTTTTATATCATTCAATCAATATGGATGTGTTAACGTTTGAAGTTGGACTTGGTTCTGTCCAAGACTTCTGTATAATAACTTCATGACAGAGAACTTTCAATTGTTATAAGCTGTAGCATGATAGATAACCATAACGAAGCTTTTAAAATTTCACGAGAACCAAATCTGCTCACATATATCATAAATAAGAATAATACTACTTGTACAGATTTTTTTATCAGATAGGATTATAGGTGCTGAGCTAGCAAGATTTCACAGGCTGGTTTATATTTTATTTTTGTCCAAAATGTTATGAAATCTTGCCAGTTTAGCATTCTATAAACCAAGTGGTAAACAAGGCTATACAAGTAACATTTCCTTATAAATAAATATCAGCATAAGATGCACATATAAAAACATCTCATCAACTTACTGCATGATATGCATATGGTGACTTCCCTTGGCGTTCAAAATGTTTTGCCATAATGCACCATTCAATCGGCCCCCAATCCTCTTGTTCGAAACAATTGCCCAGCGCAGCTTTATACAACTACAAGGAGTCAAAATCTCAATTAGTTAAATTTCAATCAAAATCCATTAGCTGATGTAACCCATGTCGAAAAATACGAATTATGCGAAACTTCGACTAACCGCTTCAGTGTCAGTGAGAAGCTCGGTCCCGGCTGGATAAGATGCATAGAATTGATCAGCCCTCGAGTATCCAGCTCTGGTTCTGCATTATGCATTAATCAATCCACAGTATTCCCGACAAGATCATATTAGAATTTAAAGGAAAAAGATTATCAAAACCCAACTAAATTCCATCCGAACAATTAAAGTTAATTTTTTTTTTTAGTAAGATCATGAAAGCATCTTAAGAATTAACAAACGCCGAACAATTTGTTTCCTAATAGAGAATATTTGGGTAATTATAATCTAAAATCGTATTAAGTTTCCATAAAACCATTACATGCCCAGCTACTGCTGTATAACAAAAAAGATTCAAACCCCCTAATAAAAATTTCAGCAGGATGATGATAACATAAACTAATATCAGAAATTGAGTAAGGTGTATTCTTTTTTCAAAATAAAAGATTTACGTGTTGTTGGTGTAGGCGTAGCTGACGAGTGTGACAAAACAGTAAAATCCAGCATACGAGACCATTCTTCTGAACTTCTGGATTTTCAGAATTTCATTCCACCCTTCGTAGAGCCTCCTCCACATTTTGAAAGAAAAACAGCAGCGCAATGAGCGATTAGATTAAAATTCCCGAAAACCAAAAAGCAGGACTCTTTCAAGCATTTTATCGAACGCGTTGTGTCGGCCTTGCGTTATCTACGGGAATTAATTTCTGGATTCTTGTGCAAGTAGCAGTTACAGGTAGAGAAGAAGCAACTAAGGTTTTTGTGAAATTATCTACCTGAAATCTTTAAGGTAAGATCGTTTGTATCCTGTCAAGTGTAAGAGGAAGAGACTAGTATCAAACAACCCGTATTTATATATTTTTTTTACTTTAGGTTTAAAATAATGGCTAAAATTTCAATCGTCAAAATTGAACTTTCTAAAAATTTCAATTGGATCCCTATAACTTCAATTTATATCGATTGAATCACTAAACTTCAATTTAATTTCATACTTCGTCACCAATAGCCAATAGGATGCATTTATGATAAAATGAGGTTTTTGAGCATGAAATAGCCCAATTGAACCTTTTTTCCTTTTTTTTTCCCCTCAATTTAATGTACTATTTTTACTTTGCATTTGCAGTAAAATAGTAAAGTCGAGATAATGAGTGAATTTATCCATATCTCCGTGGATGAAGAAGTTGGTCAATTGACTCTACATCACGTTCATTTATTGAGTCGTTTTCAATGCTGCAACTCGAATAAGGGAACAATATTGACAAATGGAGTCTTCATTTCACATATTGTTATTAAAGTAGGGTTGCTGCATGAATTCGCAATTTTCTCCAAGAAATGTTGAGGTTTTTCTTTCATACTATGCCCTTGCTTGGTAGTAATTTTTCACTTCAAAAAATAAAATTCTTTATTGTTATTTTATTATTCCAGCCATCATTTTTTATTTCTTTACTCACAGGTGGACATACTTTTCTCTCCAACGCTAAAAAAATCAATTCTCAAAATCATTATCAAATAGACCCTATATTTTCATTGATTCAAGTGAGAATTTTATTGGCATCGCATCATTTTGCCTTGAATTTATAAACATTAGCCGAACATGGAAAGATTCGCCCATTTTTATTTTCTTGCCACGTAAATATTTTATCTTAACTAGAAGAACGAAGTTGTCAATATTTTATAGGGAAAATTGTAACAACAGTCCCTAACCTTTCACATTTATGCAAAATTTACCCCAACATTTATTTTATGTCACCCACGGTTTTAAACCTTTAAAAAATATGCACCTATCTAAATGACCGTTAGTTGACTAAAAAAAGTCAAAATTTGACCAATTTGGATCAAATTAAAAATGGTATAATAGTACTTTGTATTTTTCTAAATATTAACAATTAAAATAAAAAGAAAAGAAAAGTAAAAAGTATCAACCCCAAATCCTACCCCCAAACGCATCCTCACCGCCATCTCCATTTCTTCCCTGGAAAACACCAAGACAATGCCACCCCACCCCACCACAACCTCAACTCTCCATCGACAAAGGTTCGTCTCCACAACTGCTGCAATTTTTCCCAAGAAAAATTACCTCTACGCCCGCTTGAGATATGAACTGCACATCCACTAATTGGTTGAATCGGGGAAAATTGATGAAGACCCCTTATGTGGATCTTATTCGCCATAATAAGTATCAATGGTGGTGGTGCACGATTGTTGTTTGTAATGCCGACGCTGGAGTTTTGGACAGAAAGTGCATCGTTCGCTACCTTTGAATTGTTGCCATTTTGTTTTTGATTTACAGCTTTGTTCAAGGGTATCAATAGTTGCGTATTGAGGTGCTTAGTCAACTTGGAAGGTGGGTTTGGCATGGGTGTAGTCAGAAGTAGGATTTCGGCAATTTTTTGGTGTGTGGCACCTGTTTTGGGTCTACTTTTCGATTGAATCCGTTGGAGTTGTGGCTGGTGGTTGGGTGGGTTGTAAAGAAGGAAGTGAAGACTTTCTAATTTGGTCGGCAGTTGGTCGATGTTTAAGTAATTCAAAGTAGGCCCAAATGTAAACGTGGGTTTGGCATTGGTTGTGATTGGTGGCGGTGGTTGTGGTTTGATGGTTGTGATGACGATTGATTTTGGTTTGATGACGATGGCAGCGACGGTGGGTTTTTTTATTTTGGCATGAAGAAGATAAGTTTGATTATTTATTTATTTATTTATTTATTGCTTATTTTATAAATGTATTTTTATTGAAAAATATGAAATTATTATGAAATTGATGAAAATGCCCCTACTTAAAATGGTTAAAATATTCAATTTTTACATATTCCGGGTTAACTAACGATTAAATGGCCGATTTGGATTTCAAACACATATTTTTAAAAGGTTTGAGACTGTAGGTGACACAAAGCAAAAGTTAAAGTAAAGTCTGAAAAAAATATGAAAGTTTAAAGACCGCTGCTACAATTTTTTGAGAATTTGTTCTACCAACATATGAAATAATATTCGAACCTCATTTTTCCCATAAGGAAGTTTAAATTATGTACATGAAAAATTTGTAGTTCCATGTCAATTCTTGATACTATACGTTGGAAATTTGGCGAGTTTGATCCTGCGACATGAGAAATTATATTCGAACTTATTTTGTGCCATATGGAAGTTCAAAAATCCATAATTTCAAATTTTTGTATTGCATATTTAGTCCCCAACTTTTGCAAGCTTGTCCCTAACCAATTTTTTGTTGCATTTTTGTCCTGAACTTTCACAAATTAGTAGAATCAGTCCCAAATGATATTTTTTATTTTTTATTTTTTAATTGCTCAAGAGGTGTAGAATTTCCCTTTTCGAACCCCCAAAATTCCATAGCTTGTTCTAAGAATAGTAGATCTCTATAAATTTGAGAGGTTTTAATTTGGATTCAATCAAATAGTAAATCGCTTATCTTGCCTCGAACTATAAACAAAAACAAATTCCAATCGAAAATTTAAATCCATGTTATTAGATTAGATTTAGTTCAAATAAATTAAGTGATTTTTCTTCAATTACAATGATCATAGATGAAGAAATGTAATGGCGTTTGGAGGCGGGTTTGTGAAGAAGAATCGAAAGCGCAGTAGCTAAAGCAGATTTCGAACCGAAAATGACTTTAACTACAGACCCAATCGAAGCACAAAAACCGTACTATGATGCCATTTCTCTGTAAAGGGCTGGAATTGCAGGGCACCCTGCAGAAAACCTGCAGGTATTTCAGAGCCACGAACAAAAATGTTTCAAGCTCTCCCCATTTGCAACAACCCCTTTTTCATTTTGAAACAAATTGATTCAAAATTCTTTTGATTCAAATTTGAAATTACAATAGAAAGGGAAAACTCACCGTGGTTGGGAAATGCATCCCATGACAGCCGGCGCGGCGGCGGCTAGTGATGGTTCAAATGTTGTTAGGAGTGAGTAACATTAGAGCCCTCTCTAACCTAATTGGAAATGAACGGGCATATTTGTACTTGTGTTTATAGAGTGATAAGATAAAGCCCAGTAAGAAAGCCCACATTTTGTAACTTTCTTTTTTTGAATTTAGCTTATTTCACATTCTCCACTAATGCCATTTCCTAAATTAAATAAGCAACTCAAAAAATAATGATGGCCAAAAAGGTAAAAACAATAATTGTTAATCTGTTGAATAATTATCATGTGATTCCAAACTAACATCACAAGCTTTAACATCATTGTGTAATAGGATCAGATGGCAAATATTTTTGTAAATGGATTTCGGGTTGCATACACAGACACGTACTATTATGAAATAAATTGAATTTCCAAATAATATCAAGCACAATTATATATTGTAGTAAGAACACAAATTACTATACACTACTTCATGGTATATTCATTATGATTTTCACATTATCAAAAAAAATTATGAAATATATCCACTCACAGTATATATCCAACATATAGAAAATCAAATATTTACACACTCTTATTAAATTTTAGATATAAAATATATACAAATTGCATGGACATGGGATAAGGTCATAATCAATAGAAAATGAGAATCAAATGGTGGATATGTGTGATAAATTGTGTATTATATTTTTGTTATAGATCTATAGAAGAACGAATTGGTGATTAGGTCTAGGGAATTTTTTGGTGGGAAATTCAAGGGAGAGATGATTTGGTGGACATTTTGGTTCAGAGTATGAAAAGACTTAATTTTAGGAATTTTTTTATTAATTTAATATGTTAAAGGCATGTTAGTTGGAATTTAATTTAAAGGCGATGGAGTAAAGTTAGCTAAGTAATGAATGGCACGTATGATTTGATTAGTTTTTCACATTTCTATTTTACTATATAATAGTAGCATTTGTGGAAAAAAAAAAAAGTAGCATAGTATATTTTAAATATTTATTAAAAATAGGTGTGTGACACAATTTCCTCAAAAAATAAAAGGAAAAATTCATACGTAAGAGTTTAACTATAACACAATTCAAAACTAAAAAAATAAGATTTAAAACTTCAAGAATTAGATATTATTAAATTTCATTTATGAAATAATTAATTAATACTATTTTATTAATTAGATATATTAAGGTCAAATCTATACAAATTGGTTACAAAATTATATAATTAATTGGTCACAAATTATTTCTCGGTTACAAATTGAAAATTTTATAGGTGACAAATTGTTTTTCAATCAGAAATCAAAAATTTTATATGTCACAAATTATTTCTCAATCACAAATAAAATTTTTTATAGATTACAATTTATTTATGAATCACAAAATCAGAACTTTTATTGTCACAACTCATTTATCGATCACAAATTATCAAATTAATTGGTTATAAGTAATTTTTCGATCACAACTTAATAAATTGTGAATCACTATCACATTTTTTAGGTCACATATTATTTATTGATCATAATTAACTAATTTATTTGTCATAATCAACATATAATTAGTCACAAACATCCCATCCCATCCTATCTACCAATGACCACTACACCGCTACCACGATCATCACCTTACCAGACCATGCAAAACCACCATCATAGCAACCACCACACTTCACATCAGGCAAACCCACCACCGTAGCAACGCAAAACCACCAACACAATAATCACAATACCACTACACACCAAACTCCGACACCATCATCGCTGCCATATCGCAGTATCACCAAACACCCATAGCACTAGACCGCGAGCATGTGACCATCATCACAACCACCACAAAACCGCCTCAAAAACCATTACAAACCACCTTAAAAATTACCACAAAACAACCATAAACTACCACAATCGCTCATCAATGGCGAACCTATCACCATAGTGTGTGGCGCTCAGAGCGACACTTAGCGATGACCAGAGCATAAGTTGTTTTGCGTGACGCACGAGCTCAATGAGGTCAGAGAGCCAAGTACAGCAACGACCTATTCATTGCGCTATCGCTGCTGTGTGTAGTGAACTTAAGCGCCATTTAGTGGCGATGGGTTTGTCGTTCATAGTGGCTGTTCAGCAGCAATGGATTTGCCACTATGGCGACGTCGCCACCCGTTGGTGAAGAAGAAAAAAATGGATGGACGGGAATGGAAAGATAGAGAAAAAAGGAAGAAAAACCCACCAGTTAAGGAGAAAAAATGGGTAGAACCATAGAACGAATATTGAAGAGAGAATGGAAAGAGAGAGTAAGAAAATGGAATGAGTTTGAAATTTAATTTTATAATATTATTATTAATATTGAATTATTTGTTTTTTGCATAGACAAACGTAAAATCTGATTTTTGAAATGGTAACTTAAAAAATTTGACTCTGTATAATTTTCACAAAAAAAGGAAAGAAAGAAAAAGTAAATATGTACTAGAGTTAAGGGCTTAGTTTTGGGTACCAATTACAAGCGTTTTTTTAGAAGTATCGATTTTGAGTGATTTTCATAGTATTTTTGAAAAATGTTCAACCTACACTTATAAGTTTATTATTCACTAATTCAAAGAGTTTTTTTAAAGAATGAGATTATATATATGTCACAGGAATCTTACCGACCCCTCACATGGGGTTGGCCTCACGCAGGCCCCGACACCATAAAAAATAAAAAATGAAAAAAAACCCAACCCCACCCTTGTGAGGGGTCGGTTAGACCCCTGTAAGTGTTGGGCATGTACGCCTAGCATTGCTCAATTTTTAATTTATAGTTTCTAGTATGAATTTTTTTACTCTTAAATGATATTTTTCTTATAAATAATTTCTTTTACAT